ATCTGTAACTCTCAAGAAGGACCTCCATGAATCCTGCACATTTCAGCTTTCCCAGGCATATTTACCCCCGAGTCTCCTGAACCTCTTCACTGTCTTCTGGAAAGAACATTTTAACTTGGAGGGCGCTGTTACATTATTACACTGTCTGAAGCAATGCCATCAATGTAACAGGACAGAGTGACCTATTCCTCAGTGTGACATGCTCTGCATCTTTGCGGTGACATGTAGAAACAAACTTATTGCTCGTTCTATGAAAGAATAGCACATACTATTATGCAGAGCACAAAACACTTGGTAATGATCATAAACAGCTAAGTAGTTGCATTATGTACCTACTTTACTGTGCTCTGGACTATTTTCGAGTGCACTCCATTTGTAAAAAGCTTCCTGTAGTGTGCAATGTAATGTCAGAAGTGCCCTCATATGGCTCCTGCTTGTGTGTCTCAATTTTATTTGTTTATGTGCAGGCACATGTGCTTGAGTGGATTTATGTGCTCTACATGGGTGCAGGAGTCCATGGAGGCCAGGAGAAGGCATCAGATGCCTGGAACTGGAGTTGTAGATGATTGTGAGCTGCTGTGTGGGTGCTGGGAACTGAACCTGGGTCCTCTGCAAGAGCGATGGGTGCTCATCACCAGTGATGCAGCTCTTCAATGAGCCTTCTTGATCTCACCCTGTTCTCTTGCACTTGATTTGATCTTCTGTTTCCTTTGTCATGCCCCAAGAAGCAATAAGCTGTTCTATCCCTATGTGCATATATACAGTACACACTACATATAGCGTAGGTAGGTGGTAGGTTGTATTTTTCAGGATGCTTGTGTGTGTTCTCTATGTCCATCAATGATAAAATGGCCTAAATAACACATGTCTCAGAATGTGTCCTCATGGTTAGGAGATCCATGACTGACTGTAGGTGTAAAAATATAAACAGGATAGTCCAGTGAACCCACCCACACCTGTCGCTCAACTTCGACCAAATGGCCTTATCACCTTCTGTACCTTTCCTTGCTTCACCAACCTTAGGAACCCTCTGATTTGTATGCGTTTCAGTAGAAACAGTTAGAAGATGTTAAGCTCTGAAGGATACATAAGATTGGGGTGGTGATGGTGGGGAGATAGGATGGAGTATGCGAGGTATGAGGGATGCTGAAGGATGTTGAGCTTATGATGCGATGGACTGAGAAGGAGAGATGCTTAGATCATAGCGGCACAGAGGATTATGAGCGGCAGCCGATTAAGGAAGTCCTTGACTGCTGGTATAAATTTTATGTTTTCCTATTTAGCTAGAGAGAGGTAAAGGGGATGCTGAAGAAAAGTTGGAAATAGTCATTGTAGAGTGAGGCGCAATTACACTCTATGATGTTGGAATGCAGTATCTACCTTCCTTCCTCCCTCCCTTCTTTCTCTCTCTTTCTCTCTCTCTCTCTCTCTCTCTCTCTCTCTCTCTCTCTCTCTCTCTCTCTCTCTCTCTCTCTCTCTCTGGCAGAGTTTCTCTGTGTAGCCTCAGTTGTCCTGGAACTTGCTTTGTAGACCAGGCTGGCCTCGAACTCAGCAATCCATCTGCCTCTGCCTCCTGAGTGCTGGCACTAAAGGCTTGTGTCACCACACCCAGCTTGAATGTTCGTAAGGCCTCCAGAACTGGGGGAATTGGTGAATCTAGTCAGTGTGGCTGGTGGACCTTTCTTTCCCCCTAGTACTGCACGTTTGTCTGGGTGTACATTCAGAAGAAGATGGAGAAGTTGGTTCACAATGAGTTCCTACTTTGCTGGGTGGGAAGTCCAATGGGTAGAGTATAATAATCCTTCCATTTGTGCGAGTGGATACTATGTTACCTCAGGGTCTCTTTGTTCTCCGTAGAAATCTTCATCCTCACTTCCAGGCTCCATTTCCGCAAATGGCAAAATTGGTGCTAAGACAGGCAAGACTTACCTAGCAAAAATCATGTATTAACTTCTCTATGTTTCCTTTTTTTCAAAAGGAAAGAACTAATGAGATCTTGTTCTAACTGCTGTGTTTCATATCTTACATTTATACTGATCTCCCTGTCCTATGTTCTAATTTTTCTTGAAAAAAGATGGATGTAGGTCTATTTAATACCCATCATTTACATTAATTTGTGATTTAGAAATAACTTTATTAAAAATGTTAGTAGTTTTTTTTTTTTTGTCTGTATGGTGAAATCCTGCCATAATTTGATCTGGTATTTCAAAAGTTCATCTGTAGACTGTAGCCATGTCGTTGTGGAGACAATGGCTCTTTCACTCATAACCCTGAAGAAAATGTACTGAAAGTGGCTTGTGTTGAGCATTGAGTCCCCTCTCAGATGGCGGTAAAGGAGTCTAGAATGGAGAGAGAGAGAGAGAGAGAGAGAGAGAGAGAGAGAGAGAGAGAGAGAGAGAGAGAGAGAGAGAGAGAGAGATCACGTGGAAACAAGAATGGGGAGTATGAACCTGCCATACTTCTACTCAGTTGGCTTGGGTTCGAGTTATTTTCTATTTAAAGTGTGCTTTGGGGCAAGTGACGATTTTGACTGGTTCTCGATCTGCTTCATGGTCATGTCTTCCTGGAGGAGGAGACGATAATTATATGAGTTAAGAGCATAGAGCAGTAGGGGGCTAAAGAGATAGCCTAATGGTTACGAGTACTTGTAGAGGACCTGGGTTGGGCCCAGCACCAACATGGTGGCTCACAACCATCTTTAACTCCAGTCCTAGGGGATCTGACACCTTCTTCTGGTACCAGGCACACACAGAGTGCGCTTACACACGTGCAGGCAAAACATTCATGCACATAAAAAATAAAGGAACATACAGTGTTAGAAATCGTTTATGATTTATTGTTATTTATTTATGCATATGTGTATGTGTGTGTATATCTGTATATGTGTGTGCAGGTGTCTATGGAATCCAGAAGAGGGCCTCAGATCCCCTGGAGCTGGAGTTACAGGTGGTTGTGAGTCATCTGACTTAGGTGTGAGGTCCCAAACTCAGATCCTCTACAAGAGCAGTATACACTCTTCATTAATGAACCATCCCTCCAGGTTTAGTAGCATTACTTTTTAAGAATAAAACACTCAGCTTTCTGTTCTCTGTTTCCCAAATCCTTGTGTCCCTGTGAGCTCTGAGTCCTCCATGACAGCCTGAGAAGTAAGAAGGGTGTAGATGTCGAGGGAACAGCATCAGACCAGTTAAGTGCATATTAGAGGCATTCAAGCATGTGTTCTAACAGTTAAGATAGCATTTATATTATACCAAGTATTATAAGTATTGTAGGAAAGAAAGACACACGGGAGGATGTGCGTAGGTTATAAGCAACCACTATACCACTGGTTCTCAACCTGTGGGTCACAACCCCTTCCTCAGGGGTTACATCTGGTGTTTATATTACAATTCACAACAGTGGCAAAATTATAGGTATGAAGTAGCAACAAAATAATTTTATGGTTAGGGTTTCACCACAAGATGAGGAACTATATTAAAGGGTCGCAGCATTAGGAAGGTTGGGAACCACTGACCATACCATTTTGAAAAGGAACTGAGTAACTTTCCAGGGGGCCTGGAGCCGGCTCCCGTGGCCAATGATTGTACCTGACTGGGGTGAGCTTTTCTTCCTTACAGCCAACCCGCTCCGATCTTAGGGAGAAATGACCATCCATCACCAGTGGCGGGCTCCGGGTAGGGGGCCTTCGTTGTTTTTTCGATGGAGAGGCTCTGACAGCATTTGGATAAGACTGAGCCTGACTCCTCAGTTCAGCCTTTGGAAATTCATTAGAATGGCTTGCAGGTCCAGCTAGCCTAACAGTGACTGTACCAATGGAAGGCCCATCGTGTAGTTGCTCAGTCCATGAGGCTGGATGTCTCAGCCTGTCTTTAGGATGTGCTAGCATCCCAAGGAAGTAGGCTCTAATGCCAGTGAAGAAAAAGAGCAAGCAGGCAAAGGGAGTGAGCTTCCTTCTTTCATGTCCTTTGTACAGGCTGCCAGGAGAAGGGGTGGACCAGGTTAAAGGTGGACCTTCCCACCTCAGAAGACCCAGATTCAAAGTGGGTTGTCCTACTGCAAATGACTTAATAAGAAAGAAGTCCCTCACAGGTGTATCCACGCTCTTGGGTTTTGAATTAATTCTAGACGTAGACAACTAAGAAGAGTCATCACCAATAGCCCTTAGTTGTTAGATGCTTCATGAGGATAAACTGTACAGTCCCTGGCAGAGGACACAGGAGATGATGATACACATGCCATGCTGGCCTGTCACCAGGCTTAGCAATTTGATGCCTCTGACAGCTGTCAGGTGCTACACTGGATCCTTTCATTATCTGCAACCTTCTCTGGGCATAGTGCCTTCTCAGTAAGACCTTCCCTGATTACTTAAAGATACAGTTGTGCAGCTTTAACAGCTCTTATGCCCCTCAGCCACAGCATCCCCATTATCCCCAGCCCATCTCATAGTTCTTTTTTCTTCATTATACTCATCATCTCCAAGTGGATTGTCTTATTGCTTCATGGTTCAGGCTATCTTCATGTACGAAAATGGGAACTCCATGAGAGTAGGCATGTATGCCTGTTCCGTCACCGTGCTCACGAATGCCTGGCCCTCGAGATGAGTGCCTGGCTCAACAGATGTGTGCTGTAACCTTATCAGAATAAAGAAATTGACTTTGAAAGCGGTCCTGTCTTCTAGGCACTCTGTTTCTGAAAGTTGCTGCAGCTGTCATGAATGTTTTATTCAGAAGATCATTTTCTCATTTACATATCTATCTCAGATATCCTCTTCTAATGGGAGGCGCCTGAAACCACACAGTGCAGGACTGGGGCAACATATAGGTTGGGTGAGAAGTACCGTGATGGCATGCATTGCTAGCAAGTCTCCTGGCTGATTTTTAGCATTGCATATCCCCCCCATGTTGTCGACAAGGGATGCTTGTGTCGGGAGTGGACCAGCACACCCCCTTATTTCCTCGTCTATTTTCATCTCACAAAACTTTCGTTATGTTTTCTTGTAGGGCACCAATGCCTCTGCTCTGGAAAAAGACATTGGTCCAGAGCAGTTTCCGATCAATGAACACTACTTCGGATTGGTCAATGTAAGTATCTATTGTTTCCAATGTTTTAGGGTATGTGAGGTACCTCTGCTGACTTTTTTGTTTTTGCTTTGTGAGACAAAATCTAGCAATGTAGCTCTGTTGGTCCCCAACTCCTTGTGTTGACCTGGCTGGCCTTGAACTTTCAACGATCCTCTTGCCTCTGCCTGAGCACTGGGATTACAGGCTTATGTACCACGCCCAGCTCTCTGCAGCCATCACCATCATTACTCATTTTTAAATAACTGTGCTTTAGTGAGTATTAGAGGCAAATACTAGAGAAGGGTATTTTAATCTACTACTTAAAATGTACTAATCGTTGTCCCCAGCAAAGGACTTAATTACTACATTATTGATTGAGTTCACAACCCCTTTCCTGCATGCCTTGAGGGGTTCCCTTTGTACATGTTGCTTTCACAGTGGTTTCATTAGCATTCGTGGCCAAATCTGCTTGGGTTTGTCCTCTGTTTCTCACAGCATGAACTCTTCAGTCTCTGTTTTGGCATGGGCCGATGCAACTTGACCTGTATTTGGCTAATAGTGTAGCTTATATTAGAGCTATAGAATAATGTAAGTAGGATCTCCACTTGAGGTAGGGGTGAGCTGTCAATCAAGGCCCAAGAGTCCCTTATCCCAGAATTACTTGTCCCTGGTGTCATCTGACAAAACTTTTCCTAGGAGATGCAACACGCATATCTACTCACCCCAGAATAGGGAGCTCACAACAGACCCAAACTACAGACACCGTCAAAGTCCAGCTTGGTGAACCAATGAGTTATATTGGGGTCACTTACAGGAATATGGGTGAGGGGTCACTTAGAGGAGCAGAAATGAGTCAAAGACAGCTGTATCACCAAGGCTCACCCCAGCATGGGTGACAGACAGTTCACTAAAGTTGGGAAAACTGGAGCACAGTGCACAGCCTGCGGGCAGCACCTCAGGGTGCACAGTGTCCTTTCCAGGTGACTGGTCTGAACCTCCTCCAGGCAGCCTGGCTGGTTTCTGCTCCTTCCAGGCAGCTAGCTGTCTAGTCTCAGAGAGGTCTTTACCGCTTTTGTTCTTCTGAGAGTCTGCATTGTAGTTTAGCTCTGCTCACTCCAGCAGGGTGGGGCCTAGTGGATCCAGTTTCAGGGACTTCCTGAAACTATTTTGAGTTGGTTACTTTCCTACCTAAGGAGCTTCCCCGTAGGATGTGGTGTTTCAATCTTGGAGGAAACTGTTTCACAATACCCGTTTCCTCCGTGCTAGGCAGGAGCCCCCTAGTACCTGGCTCTACCTATGCTGTGGCTTCCTTGGTAAAGTGGTGAGTCAGGTGTTAAGGTGGTATTGCCAGGTGTTAAGGTGGTATTGCCCATCACCACTGTGGGCTTTATATACTTACTGTACCCTCTTTACAGAATAGAAGTTTTAAGTGATAAGGGTGTTAGCTCACAGACACATGGATTTCTGGAGCAGCTGCTCTGCCAGTCTGCCAGTTTCCTACTGTGAAGTGTGCTTGGAGACGTTGGACACATTCTTTGCAAGTAAATGCTGCCTTGGATATAAAGGAAAGAGCTACATTTTTATTCTCCGTGCACTGTTAACTGGTGGTGTGAACTGTGGCAAGGAACGAGGCCTTTCTGGCCCTCCATTTCCACGTTAATAGTGGTTGCAGTGGTTTCTCACCCTTGAGCCACAGTGAAGGTGTGAGGCCCTGGTGGAGGCTTGGGCATGTTGTAGACACTCAGAAAATACCCCTTTTATTTCCCCAGAGTTGATCACTAGTTTAGGCCAGTTGTGACTGAAGAGTGTCTGGGTAAAGGACACCGAGAAGCAGTGTGAAGACTGGGCAGAGGAAGGCGTATGCAAGGCCCTGGGAATACAGCGTGTCATATTGGCCAAACCCAGTCTTCTAATTTTAATACAGTTTATTTTAGCCACTGTGCAGGGGCCTCTGCTGAACTCTCTGAAGAAAGTTATTTAATCCATGGGAATTTTTCCTAAGGAAAATACAAATGCAGACAGTGGAGAATTATGGCTATTGCCTAGATAGTAGAAGAATTACGAAAACTGCATCTATTAATAACTTCATTTATGATTCCTTGACTGGTAATTCATGGAGGTGCCAGCCCCTGTGTGAAGGGGTTTGTCACCCATTGCATGGTTGTGTCAAGGAATGTTAAAATACATAGGAACCGAAGATGTATGCACCAAGAAGCCATTCAGAGAAGGTGCCCACGCTCCCTTTGACCTTCGAAATCTGGGCTATGAATCTTGTTATTTCTCTGGAATTGCTTCCTGCTCATTTGCTGAGTGGGAATAGCCGTAAAGTACAGGTCTCAGCTGGGTCCTCCCACAGAGTTAGGCTTCCAGCCACTTAGGAACCAGTGAGATAACGACTTTGCCTCTGCAGTCCAAACCTCAGTGTCTGTGACCTGGAGAAGGATAGACTGCTGCTGTGTGGGCCCTAATCTGATTATAGGGGGGACCAGGAACTTGTGCGATACCGTATTGGGACAATTGCCACCTTGGAAGAAACACGAGGCAGGGTAATTTAGAAGGTAAGAGCTAGGAAGATGGGAGGGTGGCCTACGGAGACACTTTTTGCTCCATTGCGTTTGGAGCAAGTGAGACTTTGCACCCGGGGGCAGCGGCCACTGCAATCCTGACAGAGAAAATCAAGCTCTATTCCCTAAAGGTTTCTGTTGGGCGGGTGGCTCTAACTCCTTAAATAATCCTTCCCACCACTGTATGTGTGTGTGTGTATATGTGTACATGTACATGTATATGTATATGTATGTACACATATACACATATGTATACACGTAGCATACACACACATACACACACACACACACATACCTCCCACTGAGCTACATCCCCAGTCCTCTCAGATTTTTTTTTTTTTTTGATTTTCATAGACATGGGAGTTTTTTTTTTTTTGAGACAGGATCTCCCTCTATAGCTCAAGCTGGCCTCAAACTCATTGTGTAGTACGGGCTGGCTTCCAACCTGCAATGATCCACTTGCCTCAGCTCCCCAAGAGCTGATCATGAATGTGCATCACTGTGCCTGAAGCCACGGGAGCTTTTTTATACAGCGTTGTGCCTCGGCTTTACCAGCTGCTTTTCTGAGTCCCCATGCTAGATAGTTTTGTTCTTGTTCTTGTCTCCTTTTCTTTTTTTCTGTTTTCAAGACAGGGTTTCTCTGTGTAAAAGTCCTGGCTGTCCTGGAACTTGCTGTGTAGACCAGACTGGCCTTGCAGAGACCTGCCTGGCTGTGCCTCCCCAGTGCTGGCATCAAAGGCATGCGCCCCCACCCCCCAGCTTCTTGTCTCCTTCTCTAAGTACCTGATGTCATTAGATTCCTAGTCAGAGTGCTCATTATAAGTTAGACTTCGATGGATCAGAAAAGCACTAGAACTAGGAGTCTTATCTGTGAGGGGTGCATTCCAGGACCCCCAATGCATGCCTAAAACTGGATAGTACCAAACTCTATATAGACTATGTTTTTCCTGTATGTATATACTGGTGATTAAGTTTAATTTATATGCTAGGCACAAGAGATTAAATAATGTTCTAATAAAATAGAACAGTTACAGTAAGTCATCAGTATTAGTTTGTTTCTTCATACTAGGTTGGGGCCATTGTTGAGTAACACAAAGGTTACATGTGAGGCCCAAGTGGCTACTAAGTGGCTGGTGGGCGGGTACCACATACATTGTGGCTACACTAAGACTAGCGGATGATTGACATCCCAGGCAGGATGGTGCAGGATGGTGCAGGATGGTGTGAGATTCCATCACACGGCTCAGAACGGGACACAATAGAAAATGTATAGATAATTTATTTCTGTCATTTTCCCTGTAATGTTCCCAGACCATGCTTGATTCCCTATAACTGAAAGCATGGCGACCAAACCTGCAGCCAAGGGGGGATGTGACTGTACCGCAGTAGTTCTCAACCTGGGTCGCCACCCCTCTGGGGGTCGAACAACCCTTTCCCAGGGGTCGCCCAAGCCCATCGGAAAGCACAGAGTCGTAACAGTAGCAACGAAATAGTTTTATGGTTGGGGGTCACCACAACTTGAGGAACCGTATCAGAGGGTTAGGAAGGTTGAGAACCACTGCTCTACCCTTTTGTTCCGATCCCTGTTGATCAGATCCACTGTTATCTAAGTTGACATGTTGGGCTCCGATACGAGAACATAGGGATTGACAGGTCCCCGGATCCTGGTATCTATCACCCTCCCCTGCTCAGAGGAGGCTTATCCCCAGACCATGGTTCCAGCCAACCCTCTTGTGCTTTGGCAGTTTGGAAACACGTGCTACTGCAACTCCGTGCTCCAGGCGTTGTACTTCTGCCGGCCGTTCCGGGAGAATGTGTTGGCATACAAGGCCCAGCAAAAAAAGAAGGAAAACCTGTTGACGTGCCTGGCAGACCTTTTCCACAGTATTGCCACGCAGAAGAAGAAGGTTGGCGTCATCCCACCAAAGAAGTTCATCTCGAGGCTGAGGAAAGAGAACGGTGAGTGGTGTGGCCATCGTGGGGTTCAGGCTCCCCGGAGGAAGGAAAAAGCCGCGGTTCTGGGCGGCCCTCCAAAGAGAAAGCGTGTTCTAGTTCTCTAAAGGGAAAGTGAGGATGGCTAACCGTGCTTCCAGGGACTGGGGAGATGGCTCAGTGGTTAAGAGCGCGCGCTTTCAAAGTGCATACTCTGCTTTCAGAGGGCTTGGATTTGGTTCCCAGGGCCCATGTTGGGTGGCTCACAGCCACCTGTAACTCCAGTTCCAGGGGAACGGATACCCTACATATTACATACACTTACATAGACACCCCCCCCCCCAACACACATGCACACGTAAATAACAGTGGGAAAAAATCTGAAGGAGAGAGAGAAAGCAAGAGCAGGTGTTTAACTTTAATCCTAACACTCAGGAGACAGAAAAAGGCAGATAACCATGAGTTCCAGGCCACCTAGAGCTACATGATTAGACCCTGTTGCAAAAAAAAAATGAATTAAAATTAATTAATTAATTAAATTAAAAAAGGGAAAGGAGAAAGAAAAGAAAGACAGGGTCTCTCTTTATAGTCCTAGCTGTCCTGGAACTCATTTTGTAGACCAGGCTGGCCTTGAACTCACAGAGATCCACCTGCCTCTGCCTCCTTAGTGCTGGGACTAAAGACCTGCACTACCACCCATGAGAAGACATTTCTTCTTTTCCCATTTTACAAGAAACAGGAAACATAATAGAAATTTAAAAATTGAGTTTTGACGTCCCATTTAGAATGATTTCTTTCTCCCTTCCTTCTTTCCTTTTTTTTTTTTTTTTTTTTTTTTTTTTTTTTTTTTTTTTTTTTAGCATGCTGCATTCTGGGAAAGATCATTGCAAGACAGAAAAAAAATGACCAAGGCAGATTTTTGAGTGCTACACTCCTAGGGTTAAATATGTTGATGTAATCACTGAGCAGAGCAGTACTGTTTTATGAACTGTGATTAAAGCAAGCACAGGTTACCTAATCAGTGGCTCTGGTATGTTAAAAATAACATGAGTAGTAGAGGCTGAATGACATGTGCCCCTGTAGGCTCCTGTGTGCTCAGTCTGGGGTTGCTGATTCTCTGCTGATGGTGTTATTTGGGGAGGTCATAGAAACTTTAGGAGTTGGGACTTAGCTATGAAGCAGATCATGGGGGAGGTGTGCCTTTGAAGGTGACACCTGGTTCCTAGTCCCCTCATTATATGCTTCTTGTACACTGTGAGGGAGCCGGCTTCTGCCATGCTCCATTGCTGGGGTGATGCTCTGCCCAGTGTCTGGGGCTGAGCAACCAAGGGCAGAGCCCTCTGAAACCGTGAGACCAGATAAATCCATCCTCCTCTGAGTGTATTTGGTTAGGTGTTTGTCCCAGTCATGAGCTGAGTCATACGAAAGTCAGTGACAAGGTTCCCAATCTCTTGTTTTTGGAAGGGAAGTGGTGATTGAAATATGTTGTGTATTCCAGAAGTTTTACCTTGTTAATTTTTCTGACTATGGGGCTATTTGATGTGGGAACTTGTATCTGCCCCAGATGCCACCTTACTCCAGCACACTTACACAGTTAGCCCCACACTTGTCTTACAAAGTCTTGTTGAATGTGATAGCTATCTTTAGAAGTTGTAATATTTTATGTATGCTAAAATAAAAGTGACCTGACTAGAGAAGGAAGCCAACCCTCCCAGTGTAGTTGTGAGTGTGACTAGTAATAGGGGCTTCCAGCTGCTTGCTTGTCCTGAGAGCAGGGGCAGTGGTAGGTTTGGGGTGTTTGAGCTGGTTCACAGAGGTTCTGTTCACGTATGCTCCACATTTCTCTTTCATCTTTCATGTAAGATTCTTCCAGGCTGGTCTTAGGTTTAATATGACTCTCAGGAAGAGAATCTAGTTGCTATAGCAAAATGACTCAATGGCTAATTAGTCACTGGTGGTCACGTCATATTAAGAATTGATATTCAGGGGTAAATATCAGTAGATAAAGTCCTTGTCAAGCAAGCGAGAGGACTAGATTTCAGATCCCCAGCACTCACATGAAAAGCTGGGCAGGTGTGGTAGGCAGCCTGTAATCCCAATAGATGGGAGGTGGAGGGTGGAGAGAGCGGATGGATGGTTAGAGCAAGTTGGCTAGCCGGTCCAGCCAAATGAGTGAGTGCCAGAGTTAGCCAGAGACCTTTTCCTAATAAAGTGGAGCGTGACTGAGGAGGACACTAGTGTCAACCTCTGCCCGCTTCATACTCGCACACACACAAGTGTGCACCTGCTCACATGCGTGCACCCATCCCCCAGCACATACACTGCATGCACACACACAAAAACAAATGGATGTTTTATCAGGGTTTTTGTCTAGTAATTTTGGTTCTTTTCTAGAATAATTAAGCGTTAGTTCATTGTTATAGGGGACTGTAAGGAGATATTAGTGTTTGGTGGGTGGCAGGAAATAGAAAGGAGTGAGTCTTTGGAAAGTCACTCATTGTAATTGTATAGTAGAGATGAAATGTATTTAATGCCACCCCTGTCCACTCTCGATCTAAATACTGGAGCGTGGCTTGGAGAGCTAAACCCTGTCTATCCACTCTCCAGGATGCAGAGTGTGAAATCATGGCCTTCTCCTTTCCAGATCTCTTTGACAACTACATGCAGCAGGATGCTCACGAATTTTTAAATTATTTGCTAAACACTATTGCGGACATCCTGCAGGAAGAGAAGAAACAGGAAAAACAAAACGGGAAATTAAAAAATGGCAACATGAATGAACCTGCAGAGAATAATAAACCAGAACTCACCTGGGTCCACGAGATCTTTCAGGGAACACTCACCAATGAAACCCGATGCTTGAACTGTGAAACTGTGAGTCCTGGGGGGCAGGGGCAGGGGCAGGGGTGGGGGCAGGGGTGATGATGATGTTCGTCTTTCTCGTGTATGTGTCTTGAGATATCACACACTTACCGTTGCCATCAGTACATGTGGGCCATCCTGTCTAGCATGCCTCTGAAACTGAAGTACAAACTCTTGGAAGTGTGGGCTCATCATGATGTCGTCTCAGGTGGGAGGAGCGGAGTGAGGAGGACAGTGTCCTTAGATGTTGGGTTATTTTACTCCATGGACAGATTTTAGGGCTGAATGTTGAAGTATTGAACTAGAATGTGACCCACTTAGTAAGGTTCTCATCATGAAGAGGTCAGGGGTGACATAGGGACCATTGACCTGACTTCTGGGAGTCTGCTGTGGTGCAGCTGGAGGTACAGGATGATTGACTCCGGCTTGTACCCAGTCAACTGGCCAGGTGAGAGGCCTGTCACAAGGTTCTTGGGGGGTTGGGTATCATGTGTGCTTGGCTGCATCTGACACACGGAACGCCCTTGAAGTTAGATGGGTTTAAGGACATCCTCCCTAGAGAGTGACTCAGAGTGACATATTTACTTCTTTTATTTAACTTAAACTTTAAGAGTGCCTTCATTTTTTTGCGAGGGCAGAGCCCAGCTGCCTGAATTTCCAGGCTGGCCCCGATTCTCACAGAGTTTTCCAACCTTGCCATTGAATTGTTGTCTCTCTCTTTGCTGTCCTCATCTGTAAAACAGGGATGATGCGCACACATTATCCCATTGGTGTCTGGGAAGTATTTGGTGATGTCTGTTAAACGCCAGGCCGACTTGACACACGGCAGAGTATGTAATGAATGTCATCTGTCCTTGATTCTAACTGCTAACCCCACAGAAAGTCTGTGGCTCTTTAGAGACTCCAGAGTTTCTTGATTTGGACAGATCTGCCTGAATATGCATTTTTCTGGGGAGGAGAGATAAGTGGCTTTTAACAGAATCCGCTCAGGGCCCCTTGTCATGGTCTGCCCAGCTGCCATTAACGGTGCTATCCATCATGGGTGATTTAAACCAGGGCTTTACTTTTTTCCACTTGTAACCTCTTTTAGCCCAAGCAATTTTTATGTGACTGGTTTATAAAGTAGGCATATAAACTAAACATTTATAATAATCATAAATTTATTTTACAACAGTTCTTTGGGGACCATATAATTTTACCGTTTATTAAAGGTGAAAACATCTTTGCATTCTAATGAGATGGATCTACTTGTTTATTTTTCACACAAAGAATTTGGTAGTGGCTGACTCTTTGATGCTGTGGGATTCAGAACATCTTCAGTGTTTTTCAGAGGTGATCAATATTTTGATTTTATAATCAGCAGCGTGGAGAACACTGCTTCACATAAACACAAAGGAAAAAAAATGACAGAAATATGTTTAGGACCATTTCATATCGTGTTGGAAATTCTATCCTAATCCTAAGAAAAAATTAATTTAGCAATTTTTTTTATTTTTGCTTTTGAAAGATATGTATGTATTTTTTATGTGTACGTGTATATGCCTGTATAAGCTTATGTGTACCACATTCATGTAGATGCCCTTGGAGGACAGAATGGGGTGTTGGAGCCCCAGGTACTGGAGTTTTCGGTGGTTGTAAGCTGCCCTGTGTATGTGTCGGAACACAAATCCAGGTCCTGGACAAGAGCAGTGTTGTGTTCAGAACACACAGCACTCCTGGCCACTAAGCCACCTCTCCAGTCCCCATTTAACAATATTTAAAAGAAGCTCAAGTCAGCAACTTTAAAAAAAAAAAGTTTGATTTTTTTAAAATCAAACATTCTAACACAATCCAAACATATACTAATTTAATACTTACATGCTGAGGAATGATTGCAGAAAAGTATAAAAAAGACTTTGTTTTCTATAATTCAACCACTGTTTTTATGAGAGCAGAAACTTTGTGCAGTACAACACTGCAGTTCGTGGAGTACAATAGTCTCAGATCTGAGCCCACGTGCTTTGGGCAATGTTCATTGGCATCAGTGAGATGACATGCACAGTGCTAAATGAGTATGTTGTTTGTGCAGGACCAAAATTGCAGTGAAATCTCAGGGCAACAGAGGCGAGGGCCAGCAGAAACACCTCAGGTTCACTATGTGTTTGATTTTGCTTAATTCTGGCCATTGTATGTTCAGAAACTTTTCATTGCTACATTTTCTGCAGCTCTCACATTTAGTTAGGTGAACTCATGTGGGGGTCACAATCCACAGTTTAAGAATCGAGCCCCCGAATAGTAAAGGTTTACTCCTCACAGTTCTGGAGGCAGGAGGACTGAGGTCAGGAGGCCAGCTTGATTGGGTTCTGATGTGGGTGCTTGTCTGGTGGAGACAGAGAAAGCAAGCTCTCTCATCCACAAGTGTGGAGGCCCACAAAGGTTCCTAGTGAGATCCGAGCTTGCTTTACTCAGCAGGGCTGCATTAGAGGATGACTTGACCATGTGTGTGGTCACCAGGTATTTGGAATGGTCTGCACTGGCTGTGTCTTTGGCTCCACCCCTTGACATGCCTTTAAAAAGCCCTTTAGAAGAGACAGAAGGGGCTGGTGGATAAGGATCCAGGCCCATCCAAGGCTGTCCTGTCTTTCTGTCTCTCTCTCTCCCCACTATATTTCTATCTAAATCTTTCTCACTTCTCCCTACTCAAGAGTTCCCTGATCATAAATGTGGGAGCGGGTCTCCCACACATGTGTGTAACCAAAGGCTCCATTTCCACAGACAGTAGCTTTCCTGAGTGGAAAGTCAATGACAGTATTGGGGGGGTCACAACAGCCCTTTGCAGGTTGTGATCCTTAAACAGCTAAGATATGTAGACTCACACCTAAGTATCAAGAGGGGCAAGAGGCCTTGGATCTTTGACAATCCTTTCAATGTCTTTTTCAATACTACGCCAATCAAGATTTTGATTCGTTTCCTCATAGAAATGGTTAGAAAACATAGATAAGTCAAAAGAAGACTGAAAATTGCAAGTATTCTTCCCATCCAGAGATGAAAAATTTATGGCATTTTCTAAAAAAAAAAAAAGTGATTATATTAGTCTAGAGATCAACACTTGAACATTTGCAAATGTAACCACCAAGGTATTTTTGACACAAACCTATTTACCTGGATCTCTACCTTACTTCTTCCCCTCCCTCTTTTCTATCCCTTTTTACTTTTTCTTTTTCAGTAAAGTTCAAGTGGATGTGAAAATAGAGAAAAGTGCAGTGCATTTTGTGTGTGTGTGTGTGTGTGTGTGTGTGTGTGTGTGTGTATGTGTGTGTGTGTGTGTGTGACAGAGAGAGAGAGAGAGAGAGAGAGAGAGAGAGAGAGAGAGAGAGAGAGAGAGAGAGAGAGATATCTAGGATTGATGACTGCTAACTCTTTGGTTCATCTTCATTTTCTCTCTGTCCACACCTCTCTTCTCTCAACGTGGTTTATTTTTTAAGCAAATCCCAGAGATCATTTCGCTTGTACTTAGTTTATTATCTGTATATATCATTCAAAGGTAAGTCTTTTTTAAAGCGCAGTACCATTTTCACACCTCAAAATAATTTCACCATTATTCACTCAGTGTTGAAGTCTGACTATGTCCTGTTCTTGTAGCAGTGGGTTAATTATATATTTTCATTTCCATTTTCATGTGTGTGTGTTATGTGTGTGGGTATGTGTGTTGGAGGGGTCAGTGCATGTGAGTGCACATGCATGTGGAGGCCTAAACAATGTTAGAATCACCTTCCATCACGCTTCCACCTCATTCCTTCAGGAAGGGTCTCTCAGTCAAGCTCAGAGCTCACCAAGGAAGGGTCTCTTAGTCAAACTCAGAGCTCACTGAGGAAGGGTCTCTTAGTCAAACCCAGAGCTCACTGATCCAGCTGATCTCTGGAACCAGCTTGCTTTGGGGATCCCCTTTCTTTTGTTTTCAAGGCAAGAGTTATAAGTGGGTTACCATGAGCACTCAGCCTTTAAGTGGGTTCTGGGAATTCCAATTCCGAGTCCTTCTGCTTACACAGCAAGTGAATAATCACTGAGCCATCTTCCCAGGGCAAAAGTTGGTTAATCTACGATCCATATAGCAGTATGTGTGTTAATCTATAATTTATCCCCACCCTCCTTCCCCTCTTGTGATTAATTTGTTTTGAGAAATCAGGTTGTTTGTCCTGTAGTATTTCCTACATTTTGAAAATATCTTTGTGGTGTTATTTACCTAATTAAAAAATTTTAAATTACATTTGTGTGTGCATGTGTGTGTGTGTGTGTGTGTGTGTGTGTGTGTGTGTGTGTGTGCGCGCGCGTGCATGCAGGTGTCAAGGTGGTGGTGGCAGGTCAGAGGACAGCTTTCAGATGTCAGTTCTCTCCTTCTACCATGCGGGTCATCAGGTTTGGTAGCAAGAGCCTTTACTATGTCCCTCCCCCAAGCCATCTCGCTGGCTCCTCATTTACCTAACTTTTACAATAAAATGCCAGCAATTACCTAGGAGATCTGTTTCTGAAAAGACGTTTGCCCATGCGTACCAAAAGACTCACTTGCAAAGGAAGGCTTGGGGCAGCATTTTATTTTATCTAATTCTTTTCCCACACAATATATTTTGATCATTTTTCCCACTCCCCCAACTTCTCCCAGACCATTCCCATCTCTCTATTCACCCAGCTTCATGTTCTTTCTTGCTCTCTCCTGAAACAAAACAAAACTAACCAAAAACTGAAAATCAAAATGAGCAAGAAGCCAATAAGACAAAAAAAAAAAAGAATAAATAAATAAATAAAAAACAACAGAACAAAACAAAACCAAGAGGAAACAAAAAGCCCATAAAACTCCATGGTGTCCGATTTGTGTTGGCCAACCACTCCTGGGTGTGGGACCTACGCTAGAGTGTGACTGATATGCACAGTGACACTCTGCTGGAGAAAGCTGGTTTTGGAGCAGCATTTTTAAAACAAAAACTTGCCCATGTCACCAACACGTAGAGTTAGAAATAGAGCGTTGCCCATACCCT